TCCCCCCAAAAAAGGAAACAATTTGCTGCCTTTGACCACAACAAGAGTCCTGTTAAAATAAAGAAGTTTAAAATTGACACGACATCAAATGCCAAAGATGTCCCAGTGGGAGATGATGTATCTGTTGAAGATTGTCCCAATATCAACTTTCAGAAATCAGAGTTGGCTTCAACAATGAATATTGCAGTGGCAAAAACTGTTTGTGTAGGTCAACATGTTACAGTAAAGGCTAAAGTAGCTAACCTTACCGAAGTAAAGAAAGACAACTCTGGCAGGTTCAACAGGGTACATGCAGTACTTGTAGACCCATCAAGTTCTATAAAACTGATTCTTTGGGAAAGTTTTGTGAACAGTGTGGTAGCTGGAAGTGCTTATTTATTCCATAATCTAATTGTTCGTAAAGACAAGTTCAATGATGAAATATATCTCAATACAACAAAGTCTGGAACAGCAGTAAATATGACAGATGACTTCAAAGAGATGCTTGCAGTTGCTCCACAAGCACCAGCAGAGTATCTTACCACAACTGCAACTGGAGAAATTGTCGGAGTAGAAACTGTAACAAAATACATGTCCTGTTACAGGTGCAACAAAAAAATTCGACCAACGACATCACTTATCACAGAATGCCAAAACTGTCATCTAAAACAAAAAGTAGCATCCACTAAAATGCATTGATATGCCACTGTATTGTTTAAGAATGATAATAACGAAGACTTCCTTCTTACAGTCTTCAATACAACCATTGCAGAAATCAGTTCTTTTAAAAAAGAAATTACTAAGCTCACCAAGGATGACATAACAACAAATTTCCTTTCCCTACCATCTGTGATCACAGTTACCTTCAACAAGACCAAGATTATAACAAAAATTGTAACGAAGTAACTGACAAAACATGACATGGAGATCTGCCTTTTAAAACTGCTTGCCACTGAAAGAAAAAAGGTTTATTTTCACTGACACTAACATTTTAAGTTGTGTTGCCACATGGATTACAGTTCGCTATAAAAATATTTTTTTTCTAGTTATAGCCTGGAAATTGTAATTACCCACTTGAGTTGAACGTTTACTTCAGTGATGTTAGGTTTCAGTTACTGTTATTTAAAAGTACCTAGTAGTTATAACAGATACAAAAACTACCAACTTTCAAAACACTCAGTGAGATATCTCCTTCAATTAAATTTAACTTTATCATAGCATAAGCAATACCATAAATTTATTAACGTAACATTCAAAGAATTATGTGCTGTTTATGGGCTTAACAATAATTTATTATTTTAACTGTTTATATTGTCAGCTACCAAATGTTGTTGTTCACCCAACAGTTGTTTTTAAAGCCCTTATATTGTTAACTGCCTGTTACAGTTGTTTCTATTGTGAAGTATAGAGTCAATAAAGTACATGGTTTAATAGCCAGTTGTATTTCTTGCTTACTGATAGTACATAGTACACATTCTCTTCCCACTAAAATTTCAACACATCAATGCCATACCTTATGCCAAGAAACAGGCTAGAAAGTGCCCTTAGAGTTATTCCCTGATCCCCAATAAGCATTTCACAAAAATACTACTAAGTACTAACTATCCAAATGCTATCTTCAGTGCGATGCCTATTGCAGCAGACACAAGTACCCATTGGGTACCTATTTTTAAAAGAGATGCTACTGGTATGGCTAAAGAGGCTACAAGACCAAATTTCAACTTATTTTTAGTAGCATACAAGTTTTTTGAGATAGCAGAATTTTCTGTTGTAGCTTATAACTTTCTGACTGAGTTTATGAATCAGTGAGAAATACCTTTAGAACTTTGTTCCTTTTTTAATGAGAAAACATAACAGAAACTGATTGAATAAAAGATATGTTTACTTATTCTTGGTTGCCTCTTACTGTACAGTATAAAATTAATTACCTGCCAAAAGATTAGATTGTTCTCCTGGAATTTAAAACTCTAACTGTGGGTCCCCAACGTTTTTCTTCTGGATCCTCAACCTTAGGTTGAAGGAGTCAAAGGGACTCCCAAAGGAAAAATTGTAGGGAAAACCCTGAGCATCTAAAGTAAAGTTCTAGTTCAAGTACTAAATCTAAATTCTAGACATTTTGAGGGAGCGGGGATAAATATTCCACTATAAACCTGTGAGCGGGAACTCCACTACGAAGTAATGTAGATGTTTAATTCCATTTGAGCCAGATTGCAGTCCACACTCATCACAATGTGATATTTAATTCCAGCATTTTTTTGTATGTGTGTGTGCAGTGGTGTAATATCAACGACATAAACTGAAGTATTTCTGTATTTCTGGACCCCATGATGGTAAGGGTTACCTTTTTGAACAGTTTCGGGACCGTTTTGTTTGCACTTAACTGACAGAGTTATAGCACATTGTATAGTGAGCACAGTATGTACAGCGCTTTTCCATTACGTTAAGGTTGAGGAATTGACCTCTCTCCTAATAACTTATTACTAGAAGAGGTCTGCTTCAGTTTCAAAAAAAGCAACTGGCATTGTTTATCACAGTGAATACTGGATAGGTCCCTCGGCAGAATTGAGAATCATCACATGTCTTTGGTCTATATTTGAAACTAATAATTTATGTTTTCGTCTCCTCATAATCACCCTCAGACTTTTGTTTTGATCTTCTAGACTTTACTGCTTAAATAATGGGCCCAATCAAGTATTTGTGATGGAGATTGTGCCAGAAATTTGACTTTACTTATTTTGCTGCCCTTCTTGTAATTTCTGGCACTAAGTTTTTTGCCACCTCTAAAACAGTTTTCAAACAGTTCATGCTCCTCTCTTGCACCAAGAATTTCCATTTGAAATAAGAACTATTAAACACTGCATTCATCTGAATTTATTTTAACCTTCCTTATTGTCTTACTTAACTATCCTTTCATTACAGGAACTAGCCACTGATAAGCAACAATTTAGGCCAAATTTGATGTATTAAAATCCTTACTCACCTCTTTGCCTTATAAGAGGAATAAATCAAATATCTTTTCGGCTTAATACAACTTCTTGTTATTCTCCAAAGCCTTGGAGCAAAGTATCAGCATTGGCCTATTTCAACATTGTGGAGGTTCTGTTGACTCAAGTTTACCCAGCAAGTAAAAGTCAGTTGTCTGGATGAATGACTATATTTTCTGTCTACGTCATTACCAGCTAGCACACACATACAGGTCTATTTAACATCTCCCTTTGCAGGTGAGTGTATGGCAGTCCTATTCTAATATCCAGAAGTATGACACAGTTCTTCCACCACCCAGATAAAACTAATGCTTATCACTAGTACAAATTATGCCAAAGCATGTAAGGGGTGGGGGTGCCCATGCTCATTAAGGAGCAGTGAGGCATTGAAAATGCCCCATTTTGGCATTATTTAGTGTTCATTATAATAATTCACTCTAATTTACTGTCNAAAAAGGACATCACAGTAGACTAGACAGCGTTGAGTGTCTTCATCTTGCCCGCTTCCATTCTCAGGTCTTTTAATAATATTTCACCATAAGAGACCTGATAGGATATTTTAGAGATACTGAGAGAAACATGAAAATAGATTGATGGAAGTTAGGGGTTTCTAGTTATGCCAAAAGTATATTTATTTTAAGGGCTAGTCAGATTCATTGACTATTAATTGGTCCAAAAACTCAAATAGAGTGCTCTTCGAAAAAGGATTAAATGATCACAATGCTTTCAAATTTCAAATTTCAAATTTCCCTTACCAAATAAATTTACATGATGTAAGACACACATTCATGTAGCAGCCCCTTATTTTAATTTCTTCCCTGAACTTTTCCTGATCTGAGGCAGACCAGCTTGGTTTTCTACCAGAGGTTTAATATTGGAAAACTAGTAAAATCATTGTTTTCTTAAAGTTAAGGTCATTCCTCCGAAAATAAACTGGCAATAGATTTTTGTTCATACTTTGTCCACTGAATATTTGTCATATGATAACTTCAATTTTGAAATAAAATAAGGGGGGTGCCCGTGCTCATTAAGGAGCAGTGAGGCATTGAAAATGCCCCATTTTGGCATTATTTAGTGTTCATTATAATAATTCACTCTAATTTACTGTCACGGCCTCATAAGCCCAGATATGGCAAGCCAATTGTAGTAATATTCAATACCTAAATTCAATTTCAATTCAATGAAATTCAATTTCAATTCA